GGCTTTCCAGGCCTGTTTTGGCCTTTGAGGGGGGACTCATTAAGGCCAGGCCTGACTAGGGTTGCCAGCTCCAGGTTGGTTAATTCCTGGAGATTTTATGGTACAGTCTGAGGTGGTCAACTGAGGGGAGAGGCCTCAGTTGAATATAATACCATAGCATCCACCCTCCAAAGCAGCCATTTTCTCCTGGGTGTCAGAACTCTGTTGTCTGGATTTCAGTTGTCATTCTGGGAGATGGCCAGGCCCCACCTAGGATGGCAGATCCAGCCCTGGAAGCACCCTCTGGGTGACTTGAGACCACCTGACTTGCATGACTCAACGAGGCCTGGCTGCTTGCTGCTGTCCAACAGCAGCCACCCTATGAAAGCCAGTGTGGCATAGCGGTTAGACCTTCAGAACAGAGTCTTGGAGACCCAGGTTCGAATCCCCATCCCGCTGAGGAAGCTCAGTGGGTGATTTTGGACCAGCCACATACTTTCACACTGGGTTGTGTTGTGCAGATAAAAATGAGAGACGAATAAACGGCTTTGATCCCCACTGTGGAGAAAGGTGAGGTGTAAATGAAGTCAATACATAATAAATATAGCTAAAGATGGGAGGCAAATAAAAGGTAGGTTGGTGAATGGCTGCAAAGAAGAAAGGAGAGGGCGTGGCAGGTAAAAGGGAGAGGATATGTCGGGGAGGGAAAAGGGAAATAGTGTGGAGAAAGTGAGGTACCCCCTCCTCCTCCTCACAGGTCCTTGAGGTTCCCTGCCATGCAAGTTGGCCTGGGCCAGTGGCTGGCACCACACAGCTGGGCCATCACTTTCCTAGTCAGAGGCTGCCGGAGGCGGGGTGTGTGTGTGTCAGCTTAAGACAGAAGGGCAGATAAAGGCAAGTTAGCGTTTAGTGGGAAGGAGAAAGGGTTGCCAACTCCAGGTTAGGCAATTCCTAGAGATTAGGGGAGTGGAGCCTGGGGACAGTGGGCTTGGAGGAGGGGAGCGACCTCAGAGGTGTCTAATGCCATAGACTCCATCCCTCAAAGCAGCCATTTCCTCCAGGGGAACTAGGGTTGCCAGCCTCCAGATGAGGGCTGGAGATCACCTGGAATTGCAACTGCTCTCCAGATGACAGAGATCAGTTCCCCTGGACAAAATGGCTGCTTTGGAGGGTGGACTCTATGATGTTATATCCTGCTGGGGTTGCTTCCCAAACCTCACCCTCACAAGTCTCCCCCCAAAAAAAATTTCCAGGAATTTTTCAGCCTGGAGCTAGTGACCCTAAGGGGAACTGATCTCTGTAGTGGGAAAATATGTTGTGATTCCTGGAGATCTCCAGGCCCCACCTGGAGGTTGGCAACCTTAGAAGGGGAGAAGGAAGCAGGACAAGGGGAGAGGTTACAGGGGCTTTCTAGAAAGGAAAAGAGGAACTAGTAGGGGAGAGAGAAATGAGATGCCTCCTACAAGTCTTTGTGAGTTCCCATTTGTATATTTTTTATGATAGTAAAAATTACACTCATGCTACAACAACATGAGAGGTTGGAGTGAAAATGGAACACAGCCTGCACTGGAGCTTTTTCCGGTAGTTTGCACTCTACTCTTTCACAAGATTCTATCACACCTTACAAGTTTGCTTTTATAACTAAACAGGTCTGGGCGGCTTCAAGAGGGGATGAGATAAACACAAGAAGGGGGACCTGCAATACTCGCGGGGGGGGGGGGGGGGGAGAAGCTCCACAGCAGAAGGAAGCAGCCACAGGTGAGCCTTCTCCCCCAGGACTGGCAGCGAGGCCTGAACTCGGCCTGCCAAGCTACCTCCCTCCATTCCCCCCCCCAGCAGCCGCAGCAGTGAGGCCTGGCCGGCCCACCAAACTTTCTCAGTGAGGGCTAAGCAGCTTACAACCGCCGGCTGGCCAAGCCTTCTCCCGCCCCCTCCCTGGTGGTGGCGAAGCCGTTCTCTTTTACTTTGGGGGGATTTAAATATCCCCCCTATATTTTTTTCAACTTTTCAGATTTTTTTGCACATCTGGGGATTGCCCCAAATGTGCAGGAAAATCTCCCTGCCCCCCAAGTGCCCCCGATGTGCGGATGTAAATATCTGCACGGAGAGGGCATGTTGGGAATTAGATATATACAAGAAAGAAAACCCGCGAAACTCGCGGGGGGGAGAGAGCGAGCAATAACAGTTAAAGTCCCTTCCCACCTACCCCTTTTTTGTCTCTCACTGGACCACACAGAGGCAATGGTGTGTGCCTCTTAGCCTCCAGGGACCTCCTCTCTGGGGAAGAAGCTGGCCGTGTTCTGAAGAGACATTTCCGCATGGTCATGCAAGCAGACAGAACAATTTTCTCTCTTCTGCACCGCTGGCATTTTTGCTAGCTCTTTTTCCTACCTGCTTCGCATGTGGGAATGATGTGGATTTTTCACTCTTGTGTAGGAAGGGACTTTTGATTCTGGAAGCTCTTACAGGATGCCGCAGACGCGGCGGCAATTCGTACTATTTATTTCTATTTAAATAAAATGCCTGTCCTAAATAACTCTATTGGCCTTGCGAGAACAGACCCTCGGAGGCCTGAAGGGGCGTCGCGAGAGCCGCTGCGCTTGGCCGCCCCCCTCCCGCTCCGCTCCGTGGGACTTGCGAGGGACTCCGGCCGGCCTGGGGGTTCCCCCCTCCAAGGCCTCGGCCGCCTAGCCTCGGGTCGGCTCCGTGTACAGTCGGCCCTCACCCTGAATCGGCCCCTTTTGGGAGGGCAGGAGGGAGGGAAGCCGCGGCGTTCTCCCGCCGCCCGCCCGCTGCCCTGTGTGACCGGCGGCGGCTCTCCCTCCTGACCGGCTTCTCTGCCACGCCCCCCCCCGGCAAAAGCCCCTCGGAGGCCTGAAGGGGTGGCGCGAGAGCCGCTGCACTTGGCCGCCCCCTCCCGCTCCGTGGGACTTGCGAGGGACTCCGGCCGGCCAGGGGGTTCCCCCCTCCAAGGCCTCGGCTGCCTAGCCTCAGGTCGGGTCCGTGTACAGTCGGCCCTGACCCTGAATCGGCTCCTTTTGGGAGGGCAGGGAGGGAAGCCGCGGCGTTCTCCCGCCGCCCGCCCGCTGCCCTGTGTGACCGGTGGCGGCTCTCCCTCCTGACCGGCTTCTCTGCCACGCCCCCCCCCGGTGTTTCATTAGCGTGGGTTGCTCGGGAAGCTGTCGATGCCTGCGCTGCTCTCCCCCCCCCGAAGCGGCGGTGGACTTTGCAGAGCGTTCCCTGCGCATGCGCAGGAGACGCTCTGCCAGTTTCGAGGGGATTTAAACATCCCCCCGGTTTTTTTTCAGGGTTTCTGATTTTTGTGCAGACGTGGGGACCGCTCCACGTGCGCACAAACCTCTCCCTCCCCCCCGGTCCCCCCGATGTGCGGATTTAGCTATCCGCACACCAGGGGGTGACTTCGCAGTTTCTGGGGTTTTGCTTGTTTTATATATATGATGGATTTATACTGCATTGCATCATGTGAAGTAAACTCTAACTCCCAAAAGCTTATGCTGGAATAAATTGTGCTGCCCTTCAAGGTGCAGTGGACCCCAGTTGGGTGAACGAGCGTTCAGTGAGCCACCTGATGGTTTACATATCCACCTTCTCAAGTAACACATCATTAGAATAACATTCCTTCACCTTGGAGCACTGAAAGCAGATGGAAAATGCCCATTTTGGCTAAGCAGAACTCACTGGCAGGGGTGAGCTGTGCTGAGTATGAAATAGTTCTGTGCTGTGACTGATTTGTTGGGGGCTAGACAAGTCCCCACAGAAAGTTCTCCCCAGTCCCAATTCCCCAGCTAGCCCCCTGCACTGCTGTTTCCAGTAGGAAAGAGTATGGGCCACCCAAGCCTGCACTGATGAGTGAGGGGAAATGGACTGGCATGAGAGAGTTTGCTTTTAAAAGCCAGCGAGGACAAAGTTCATTTCAGCAAAAACACCGACACAGTGGAGGTGCTATTAAATATTAACCACCAGCCCGGTGTAGTGGGATGTTTGGTGTCAAACTTTACATGCCTTCTCTTGGGCTGGTTTAAAAACACAGCTATGGAGAGAGAGAAACGTAACCAAAGCTCTGGTATCTCCCCTGAGCCTGGCTCGGATTCCCAACAAGCTGCTTCACAGGGCTCCCCACTTCTCCCTCCATTCTCAACACCCCCCTTCCGATTAAGGGGACCCTCATGAGGCCTTCCCTGTTCCCCAGCCCAGGGATCCTATTGGCTGCTTCAGAGCGCTGCCCTGATTGGCTCCCGTGCTGGTGGCGGACATTGCTGGGGTCTACACAGCACACGTTCTCTTACCCCAATTCTGTTAAAATTGCCATCCGACATTCCTGAGGGGCAAAATACTTTCCTACAGCGGCAGTGGGGAGTGTCTTGCGCCTCTGCCCTATTGCAATGCTGACCAACGCCTATGGCCCTCCCTTCAAACGCAGGAAACTGACAGGGTTGTCTGACA